TGACAGGCAGTACAAGTGCCCGCACTAAAATTTGTGCTGAAGTGTAACCGTCTATGCTGTTGGGTTATGTCTCATAGCTGTTAACTGGCTGTGCAACCATACATCTGGTACGACAACTGCGAGGCTGTCGTAGAGAACGCGAGATGGGTACATCGCAGTCCAATGCGCCATAGGTTTTTGAAACCGTAGACACCCATTGCGAAGTTTGCAGCACGGTTACACGGTCAATTACGCTGTTGTTCTATTTCCTTCGGCTCGTAACTACGTTATCTATTAAGTTTATGTATATCTTTGGTTTGCATGGTTTTGTGATTGATGTTTAATAAGGTTTCCTCAACCGAGTGGCTCTCCTACCGGTCAATTTATTGTTTGGGTGACCTGAGCGAAACCACTTGACTCAAAACCATGACCACACTCGTACCCATTCAAAAGGGCCAATCTCTTCGCCCGCATACTGCGTCCGCACAGTATACCCGAATGTCGCATTCACGGTAGCAAGGTCAATCCGCATTTCGTGCGTCACTAGGCTTGCCACTCCGGTTTCCGCTATACCATCCATTGGGCGGTAATTCTGTACACTTGTATCTTGATCCTATACCATTTGCGTTCCTTTGTCCCCCGTTCACCTGTGCTGGTTGACACTTTGGGCGGTCGTGACGTTATCTACTTGCAGTGCATACGGCCAGACAGCTAACTTGTGAGCGTGCTCCGGCACATTCAGCTACGTAACATGCAACACTTCTAACGTAAGCGTAACAAGAACTTTTTGACCGATTCAACGTGCTGCGCACGGAGCCACACAACTCCCATTTGTTTGCCGCACTAGGGAACATCCAACCTTTCGATACGTGGTTTTCTCACATGACCGTCATCAGTAATACAAGGCGCTACATATTTCTCCGCTGTCACTGGTACGCTAGCTGTAAATTGCAGCCATCTTGATCGGTTATTTTGATCAAATTAACGATTGTCAGTACGGGCTTGCACTGGGAGCGCACACTGCTCAGGTGCGTAATGCGCTATATCTCTTATCCGTTTCTTGAATTACTGGTTGTTTTAAATAGACAACGTGGGGTACACGTTGTTTGAGCCCTTCCAAACGATTCGCTCGCCTACAAGGTGTCTTCGATTTCTATGGTTCGTGACCTTTAGTTTTTGTTAACTGTGATGGAACGAAGAGGGACGTGCACCCATAAACCGACTGAGATGAAGGTCATTATACAGAAGACCTATGAGGAAGGCAACGATCAGAACAACGTTGCATCTGTGTTAGAGGTAAACGTGAAGACCTATCGTAGTTGGATTAGAAGAATTGGATGAGCCAAAAAGAAATCGCGGCGGGGTGCGTCGAAGGTCTATGTCAGTGAGTTACGTGCGTTGCCTGGTTGTATATGTGGAATCGGTGCCCGAAGTTACTTTAGAAACTTTAAATTCACGACTGAAAGGGGAGTTCGAGGTGGAGGTAAGCGTCAGTTCGAACGTCTATTGGAACCGATAGAATTAGACCATTTAATGCAACACTTGACCAGGAACGCAGATATCCACCATTTGCCAAGTATGGCCTGATAAGTGACCTGGAAGTGTTACCATACTTCACCCGACATACAGAACTCAGCCTCCAAGATGTGTGCCACATATGGGGCTCCAGAGCTATTATACCGTCTCGGTTACGACAGTATGTGTTGGAGGAACTGCACGAGGCTCACTCAGGTATGATGGCCCGGCATCGATAGCGACATGAAAAGATTTTCCGGACATTGTGAATCATGTCAAAGTACACAAGAAAACGCCCCGCCGGTGCCAGAGTTCATGGAAATGGTCCGACAAGCCATGGGAGCGTATACATGCGGACTACTTTGTTTCGTTTGATGGGAAGATGTTTCTTCTCATAGTCGATGCCTATTCCAAAGGAATTGAGGTATTTCCACTGAAACACGCCACTTCCGAGACAACTGTTTCCTGCATGCGAACATGTTTTAGCACATTCGGTATTCCGCAAACACTAGTGATAGACAACGGCTCTGTATTCCCTAGCCAACAGTTTCAAGAGTTCCTTCAAAATAACGGCATCAGACATGTGCAGACCGCCCCTTAGGACCCAGCCTCAAATAGACTAGCGGGAAGAACAGTCCAGACAGTAAAAAACGAGCTGCAGAAACAATCACCTGCTCCACTCCAAAGGAACCTGGATAAATTTCCATTCGCTTAACGCTCCATCCCAACTGAAACGACAGGCAAGAGTCAAGGTCAATTGATGTTCGGCCAAAGGTTTAGAATGCGGATAGACCGACTCTTTTCTGACTAAAGACTGTGCGTCGAGGTACGGCAAGAGAAATCTGTAATAATAATAATAATAATAATAATAATAATAATAATGTGTCAGCTGTACGCCGTAACGGCGCTTCGCTGCCGCACGACCACCACCAGCCGCACGCGGGCTGAGTATACCGCGAGGACGCCAACCCCTACGCGGATTCGAACCGGTGACCTTATGGTTGCAAACGAAACGATCGAAAGATCGACAACTCCGTAACGAGGAGCTAGTTTACGTCAAACTGCCCCACTAACGGACTTGGCAAACTGCGGAGTTACGCGAAATTGAAGGCCAGAGGGCGGAGGTTGCACTATCGGACAACAGGGTGGTTACCCATCATATAGATTAAGTCCGCCGTCGTTCCGTTTCAAACAAGCCAGACGACATATTGCCAAGCTAGTCAACCGATCCAGCGGAAGGCACGCAGAACCCAAACCGGCCAAAAGTGTAACCAATACGCCGCTCGACTAGAGTACGGTAACCAGTTGATGGTTACCAGGCTGTCTGGGAGAGTGCCAACTAAAGGGAGGAGGAATTTGGCGTATGAGTCACTATCGCAAGTCAGATGTTCACACCCAGCATTGACTGTCCCTACATGTGGCGTGTATGTCCGCCTATCAATTACCCATTCACCAGTGACTTGGCTTCAGCCACTTGATCGATGCGTTGTAAAGGTTCCAGCAAGAATACACGTTGCGTGCTGCTAGATTGTTGTGTTCGGTTGTCCTAGCGTCGCTCGGCTACGAGCCATTACTGCATTCGCAGGTTTGCGTTTGTTCCGCACGTGCAGACTTTGACACCTTCACACTAATCAGTTGCATCCCCGTTCCCTTCCCGTCGCAACACCAACGTGGACCGCGTTGCCGTTAGAGTTGCTGCCGACACATTCAGTATCAGTCCAGAGGCCTCAACACCCGGACACAAAACTCCGCTCCCCTCAAGTATACCTGAATTGTTACAGAAAAGATGAACAGATTGGTTGCGAAAACCAGTGATTCCGATTCAGGTGAAACGCAAGCTGAAAAACCTAGGCGATTCATTCAAAAGTGGGAGGGGTTAGGGTAAACAGACCCTGACAGATCGATTAGAGCAGTTTTCATCGACCATCTTCTCTGGAGCTGGTTAACTAATTTTATTTCGAGCGTTACTACCTAGCCAATGCAATTTCGCCACGACGGCAGTTTCCCAGGCCGTCTGCGGAATAGTCACTGATTTTTGTAGCCTGAGTCACCATGTTATGATGTCGGAAGAAGTTGCTCCTGTGGAAGGTCATTCGGTTTCTTTCGAGTGATATGGGTTTGTATAGTTGTTGAATGATTTGGTGATTGGTTTTAGGCCACAAGATAATACAAGAATTTAGTTAGCTTGTTACTCGCTCTCATCGGCTGATTTTCGCTACGATTTGTTCTAGGTCATTCGATTTAGAGCGATGTCAATCCGAGGTTGGGGCCATAAAATGAGCATGGACGACGATCACAAGCGATCCCCATAAACAAACGCAATTCCGCATCAATTGTTTCTACAGTGGGGGTGGTTTTAAAGTAGTCAATGCTTAGAAGTTAGCACTCCCCCGAGTTTGTGCACAGTACAATTAGTAACGACTTGCGCTAGCAATCGGTGGATAGTAAAGTTACGGAATGAACTGACAAGTATAACGGTAAAATGGAAGTCCGATGTAGAAAGTTGAGCAAATCCTGTTTTCTGGAGCAAAGAAAGCAAAACCAGAGACCTATAGTTAAGAAAAGCGACTTCAAGGGAATCGGTCAGTGAACCCTATATCCACGAAAATCCGTCATTTTTCGTCAATCCAGTAGGATAGTCTTATTGGTCAACAAGGAGATCCTCAGACAAACTGATACTATTACTGATAAGTAAGAAGTGGAAGAGAACAGAGAGCAACCAAGGTCACTGGGAGCATGTAGATAACATTCGCCTGAGCCAAATGGTCTCCTCGTGATTTAGAAGCTATTAGATAGGCAACGAAGCTTCCTCATTATGATAAGCCGACCGTAGCGGTCGAGGTCCACAAAAGCAGATCAACGGGATTCGGCGCGGCTTTGAGCGATCATAACAAAAACCGCGCAGCTGAAATCGCATGGTGTATAAAAAAGCGACATTCATGACACCAACGTGTGAAGGGATGCGCCTCATAGAAATAGTGAAAGCCGAGTTCAGTCAGCGACTTGCACTAACCAAGCCCGAAGTAAATTGCCCAGTAGATGGCCACTAATTGTTTGACTGCTTCTAGAAAATCTGTGGGTAAAGAACCAAGGTTGTGCAGAAATCATATTCACAGAGTCATTCTGACTGTAATTACCAATGTATCTTTACAGGTTTGTCCGAGTAACCGACACTAGATTACAAAATTTGATTGGACTAGAATTCGCAACAGTCGTATAGAATTATGTCATCAGTAACAAGAATGCAAGAATATTTCGCAGCTCTGAAATCTTATGTTCGCACTGAGCATTAAAATGGCCAAGGATCAAAGCACAAGATAAGGGAAGATCACAGCACCAGATAAGGGAAGATCACAGCACGGAACTCCAGCGCTGGATTAACCGACCATCAGTGGTGGAAATTTGCGACAAGATGACAGCTTGAAGACATACATTTAAAACAAGTGCCTCAGATTGTCAGTAGTTTGCTGACAAAGACACCATGAATCATCAGCAATTATACTTACAGAACAGGGAGGTACGGGATGTCGCAGCCTTTCTCCTGTCATGATGTCATGGATATAGTAGCGAGACAAGCAGCCCTGGAGGCAATCAAACAATCGACCACCCAACTGAAAGCAGTTCAACCGGGGAACCAACCTAAAAGACGATAAGATAACTCTAAGGCATACTTGAAGTGATAACACAATAAAGCCGATGATAAATATGAGAGCACATAGATGGTCTCCCACTTGTCATTCACAGCCGGAGTTCGACTTAGCCTCAACAGATAGCTGTTTGGAATGCCCCTTGCTTTCAACCGGCGCTCCGCCTCATTCCGATCGATGTAGCCGTGATAGTACCTATGAGAGAAAAACAACACCAATGATCAAGCAAGATGCGCAAACGAAGCAGCTCATAATCTATGCGAAATAGAGAAGTAAACAAGTTGTTCATCTAGGATATAAAAAATAGGCAGTAAGGAAGAAGAAAGATGTAGCAAAATGCGCTGATGAAAGGAGCTTCTAGTTATCAAATGAGTCCCTTCTGAGAAAGGAAGAAAACAAAAAACTTCTCAGCTGTATTGGTAGAATGTGCGAACACTTGTAGTTTGTTATGGAATTCACTAGTAATGCCCTGTGGATTCAAGTGACCACACGTCATAACAGTACAAAATAGAAAATGTAGAAAGAGCAGAGGAAACGGTTACTTAAAACGATTACAAAAACATTTCCAGATGGGAGTCACAAGGTAGACGCGGAGTGATTGAGTTGAAACAGCCGATTCCTAGATCCATTTCAAAATATGCGACATCCACTAGACTAAATGCCATTTGTTCAGCATCTTCAGTTTTGGTATAGGTAGAAACTCATCACATCTAGACCCATTAAGACAGCGATCACAAGTCCGGAAAAGCACTGTACGCGCGTTTTATCCTTTCGGCAATTGTCAGCAGTGCGCATTCTATCTGACCCTTGTAGAGATCGAGCCCGCAACTCCACTGTTGCCAGTCTGTGGTTGAGATCACTGAGCTACGGGGGACGGCAAAGACTATCGTGAATGAATTACTAGATGAGATAGCGCCGCTCACTATGCACATTGCACGTTACTGTTATGCAGAGAGGGTAGCCCCCACACCAAGCGATGAACTCACAAAACCTAGACCGCCAAATAACTTATGGAAGCATAAGCAGGTTGGTCTGCGTACTAAGTACAGAAGAGTAGTAGGGGAAGTTGAATGCTAGAGGTAGAAATACACCACATCCAGACTCACTCGGGTGTGTGATGGCTGTCTGAGTGAGCCTACATGTGACGAATTTCTACCTATACCATTCAACTCCCCCTACTACTCTTCCGTAATCCGTACGCAGACCAAACTGCTTATAATGCCACAAGTTAATTGGCGGGCCAAGTTTGTAAGTTCTTCGCTAGGCGAGGGGGCTACCCTGTCCTCTGCACAGTAATAACGTGCAAATCCGTGGATAGTGAGCGGCACTAGTCGTTACTTAGTTACTAAGGTCGTTGCTTGCCACCGCAGCCCAGTTGTCTCAACTACCAAGATTTGCCACCCGGAGACATTTGAACAGAAAGATCGGAGTAACAAAACGCTACTTTCAAATGGGTATCCAGCTTCATTTATCAAGTCATGCTGTGGTCCGTCAGCACCATAAATCTCTTTTCACTGTTCCAAAAAGGAAGTGTTTCTCTCTGTTTCCTTTAAGGGGGACATCGCATTTGACCTACTAAGAAACTTAGTGCCGCAGCAGTTTCCAGCAGCCCATCCAAGCGTTCTCAAAATCACAAAGACAGACTACCGGTCAAGTCCAAATCTTAAGTTATGTATCAGTCTACTTGCATCTGTGGTGCTAAGTATACCGGACATATGACCAGACGTCTATCGACGAGGATAGCTGGGTATTGCCCAAGATCATTGCGGCATCGTCAAGAATATCAACAGTTCCATTCTGGAACGTTTAATTCTAAGTGGACATGAGAGCTCGACCAATGATGCCTTCGCAGTCTTTTACACCGTGCCGAAACGACACCGAAATGGGCTTAGAAAGCGACTCCTAAGGACAGCAGAAGAGATCGCGATCAAACTGCTGCAACCAGAGCTTTGCAAGCAGAGGCTACTGATGCAAACAAGTCTACCGTGGCCCTGATGGAACACCAGTGACGACTGGATGTGGTTCGCTTCTTCGGTTTAACCATCATTGTGCTATAGGTGAATAGGCTCTGCCTGGTCATGTCAGGTCAGATCAGCGTCCAAAAAAGCTACAATCCCTCGCCACCAAAATCGATGAATTTAAATACCAACAGAATCTACTGGGCCATTCAACACCGTTGTTTATCCACTTCCAAGCTGACTTTCAACAGCGTAGTGCTATTACTTTTCACCTTGTGAATGCAATCGCCTGATGTGAATTACCGAAAAGAGATCTTTTTGCAACTGTATCTTCAAGCAATATATACCGAAGTTACCGGTAGTTAAGTATGCAAATGACTTAAAATGACTAGCATAAGACGCATAATCGAAAAGCAAATGGATGAAATCAGCAATTTTATTCTGCACAAGTACCAACTGATCCCAACAGTAAATGAAGATATTTGATATCCTAAGCTCATTAGGGTACGGTCGCCGTCTACACAAACGAGTCAGCCTTCGAAAAGCCATTATTATTAATAGCAGCACTACTATCATTATTACTGTTGTGGCTGTGATACGGCGCCAGCTCACATCCGATCCCCTTCCCACGCTGTCCTTTTATACGCATACACAGGCAGTGAAAATAACAGCTACTCACTGCTTGGCTGAATGCTCTCGATTGACAATCAACTAGACGGAGGCAGTTGTGGCTGAAGTGGGTGCAGTAGGATTTCCGAAGAAAACTTCATGTGTTTCATGTCGACCGTAAAGCGGAGGCCAAAAGGATAACAGCGAGACTTGATTGACAAAGGATTAAGCGACCAAACAGAATGGCAACAATCATCGTTAGCATCCTCACTATCACATTTGTCATAGGTAAACACAGCCACAACAAGAACAGTAGTGTACCGTCGTACGGTGTTGGAGATACGATCATACAACCGTAAAATCATTATCATCTTCCCCAATACACGTTAGCTGAGGGTGAGAAACACACCTCAGCTAATGTGCCACAATACAAAGATACACGTAATACAATGCTAAATATCATATTATGTATCGGGTAAGAGATTGTGGTTGAAAGGCGAGGCTAAGCGGGAGGGGGAAAGACAAAGAAACAACAAAAAGCTATTGAGGTCGGCTCTTCGCCATGTTAACAGGCGCATCAATCAAACATACCACAGCAGGACAGTCGGAAAACATCAACCGATGCCAAATTCGAAGTGTGGGTGTTCATTCCTCTTGATCAATTCATCGCTTAACCTCCTCTCTGCTTCCATACAAACCACGGTCGCACAAACAAAGCACGATGCAGATGTCCGCATGCGCAACACGTGGCCCAGTTATCGGACTGTAGTGCGTGATATATTGGCGCTGAGCGGTCCATTCGCTCTCCCTGCAACAACTAAGATCTTTTATTTTACAGTTGTATTTCATGATTTGTACAACTGTAAAATAACGGTTAAGTGAAAAGTAACGAGAATGGGGGACCGACATGAGGCACAATTGCCCTTTCCATACATTTAAGCAAAAGGTGACACAAACTAACCTGTAGTTGGAAAGGAAGTCGATTATGACTAAACTGGGTGTTGTTGATCTGTCCCACTCTCCAACTCGGGGGCTTCGCCAAGCATATTGTGCCTGATACAAAACTTCACAGGATATAGCAGCAGCAGCTGGCACCAGTTGTGCGTTTGCTGTTGTTTCCAAATCGGAAAGCCCGATTAAATCGTGTGATGCTGACTTATCAGAGGGAGAACGGCTGACTTCGAGGTGGGACAGTGAAACCTGAAGGGAATACGTCTCACTGATGTCTACTTATCTCAGTCGGATAGCCAGCTGTTTGTGGCCATACGTTGTTAATAAGGTGCAAGCGCTTGGGCGCTATAATTCTGTCTAAGGTATTTAAGTTTCACACCATGTCCTCCAACGTCCTTACCTACGATAGTTTATGACATAGATCATTGTGGTTGAATGACAGTGCCCCATCCTATCAAATAGCCGACGTACTGCTATGGCTGATGATTATGATGATGAGAGAGGCCCCACCCCCGCCGAGAATTGGACACGATGCCAGTGTAAGCCAGCAAGGAATAGACGCATCGCTCACAGGTATCACTAACTCATGCCATAATTAACCTTACCCGCCAGATAACGTAGCATCACACATAATGGAAATTGATAACCCTTCTAGAACACGACAGCAAACGAGTCACAGTTATCGGTTGCATGCCACATTTCTCGATGTCTCGAGCCAGGCACAGTGGACCACGCAAAAGTTCATAACAGACCGACAATGCCCAATTCAGCATTCAGCGTCCGCATTGCCAACTACCATGCTGACGCTTGATATGCGCTGTACACTACACTATCCAATATCCCGCAAGCTAAACGAAGTTGCTACCGGAGTACGTAGAACGTACCCGGATTGACAAAATGGATTAAAGAGCTTAACCTGACCATCATCGCTAAGTTCTCTCATGCTCGCGTGGGTCACTCGATACGAGAAATACTCAGTAGGAAAGGGTCTGAAATTTGCGGGTCAAGAAGGCCAAGTCTCAGTGCAGTAGCAGAGGACGGCCCTCGAGGCGATCATATGCGCAAAGGCTCCAAACTAGAGGGGAGTGCCATTCTAACGTCTCATACGTCCGTCATTCAAACATGCAATGCGTGAACTAAAAACGTCCATTTTTGACAGTTCGCACGCGTCGCCCAAGCTGGAGGTACAGGAAACAATGTCCTTGTAGAATACTATTAACGGAGTCCAGTCATACAAGTCATTCGAGCTCGTTTCAATGTCGGTCGCCTAAGCGGAAGCTCCGACGTAACTAGCGTGAAGCCAGTGAGAATGCTTTTCCGTCGGAGTCGGCTAATGAAAACTCATTTGGCTTAAAGCTAACCAACAAGTGTTACCCTGCATCTGATAGTTTATCGCAGCATATAGGTGTGCGTATTGCGTGAGTCATAGCCAGGAGGCCCCATGCATATGCGTCATACATGTTGAGTCACGCGAATAGTGGGAAAGCAGAGATCCGAAGTATTACAGTAGGAGAAATAAATCTGCTGTGTTTAAAGTAATGAAACGATGGATGGCAGTCGACAGTTGCGAAAATTGTAACACAGTACGAAGTGGAAAATTATCTCTGCATGCCTGTAGACGCTGTTTACCCACTTTTGACTGGTAGGTTCGAGCCACTATACGATCGACATTTGAGA